TCATCTTCTGATGGTAATCTTGTCCGAACCCTACCATAAGTTCCTCGTATGATGGCTCCGGACTGCAGACGAGTTAGATACCGGGGTAATGGTGGAATTGACTCGGGATTATCTCGTGTCGATGCCCTTTTGCTGGTCATATTGGTGGTGACCCTCGGAAATTCTCCGTCTTCGACTATCCTTCTCGTTCGTCGGAAACGTCTAGGCCTTTGTTTTGGCGTTTCGGTACTGAGTCTTTCGAAAACCGAAACTCTTTCAGGGACTGCCTTAATGCAGTTGCACTCAGATAATACTGCCCGAATGAGTTTGGAACAGGGGCATTGAGTCTCTATTTCTCGAGGACTCCTTTTTCTAGTTTTACTCGTACCCCCAGCACGATAGTACAACTCATCTGTTTCGGAGTAACCTATCGTGTGTCGGCACGACTTCTCAGGTATAACGTTATCGTCATCAGACGATAATGTTTCCTTCTGAGGGCGGACTACCTTCTTTAGGCTATCAAAAGTCACACGCCTCGAAACATGCCTTTTTGGGTGTGAATTCTCAGCGGGCTCCTGGACTTCGATGCGCAAATTGGCACGCACAGCTGCCTTGAACTCCTTGTCATGTTGAGGGTGGTGGCGACTCCCAGCATGTTGAGTCGTTCGGGGCTTCTTCATCGGGCTCAAACGTTCTTGAACTGGAAGTGGACCGAGGCGCTCCAAGACTGACTTCCTTTTCTGGGATGGTCCTGCGGGATCTCCCGGAGCAGTTGTGGAAATCATCGGCGGTCTGGATTGATTCGCCGGAGGTTGAACTTTCGGAGGCTGCAGTTGTTGCTCCTTAGTCTGAATCGGCGCTTCAGACTTCGGTCTCCAAGCTTTGCGGGTTGATGGCAGCTTTTTGGCCACCTCTTTCTACAGCTTTCTACGGGCTTCTTCGGCTTGAGCCCGCGCCTGCGCTGATAGTGCGTGGCGTTTACGGATGCGTTCTTCCAGCGTCGAACGATTCCGTTTGACACGGACCCATTCTATTGTTGGCGGCTTGGAAGAGGCGCCGTTCATCTGTTGTTGAGGCTGTTTGCCTCTCTTGTTCTTCAGATCCGCGTTGTAGCGGATCCCGTCAACTGACTCCATGGCCTTTGTGAATTGTTTCGCAAGGCGTTGACGTTGCCTTTGGCGGGCTCTCTTCAAGAGAGTCACCACACCCTCTGCGGCAGAAGGGTTGGCCAGAGCAGATCTGCTCTGGTTGGGAATTGGAGGAATCTCACCTGATGCGACTTTGGCATCAAACGGGGCAAGATCTTCGTTGGTGTTTTCAACGTCTTCATACCAACGAGTTTTTCTCCTGGAGGAAAATTTTTTGGACTTGCGGGGGGAGGTTGATCCGGACGAGGACGACAAGTACTCCTCGAACTTCTGCTGGTCGAACTCGTATTCGACCTCCTCCACGACCGGGATTGAGATCCGCGGCTGCGAGCGAGATCGGTGGCTCCCACTGTGGTCGGCAGATTGTTCGCGGGAAAAATCGTAGCTTTCTTCATTGTTGATTCCATTGTCATCTTAGATAACAGCTTTTTGAGTTACAAAGATTTGGTCTTTTTATAAGATCCGGTTACAATGAAAATCAAAGAAAAAAAAAATTACAACTTTCTCCTTATTTGTCGAACAAATCACGAGCTCCTGTTTTTCGGTCGCTCGCTTGCGTGGGTTGTTTGCCTGCGCCGGGGTATATCCGTTGACCACCGCGTGATCTAGATCCGGTTAGATCTAAACGGTATAACGGGTATTATCTCGCAAAGGAAATAATAGCCGTGGGGGATTAATTCACCAAGGAAATAATCGCCCTCTCGGGATCAAAGGCCAAGCTTTGATCTGGAGTAATACCGTATGGATCTCAGATCCAATCCCTCTCGAACTCCTGCCTTTTCTGACGTGGACGATCGCCGAGCACCGGATCTGGAAGTGCAAGTCCTCAAAGTCCCAAAGCTTCAATCTTTTTTAGATCTGAGTCTTGAATCCAGCAGAGCTTCGCCTCCAAAAATTCCAACCTCTGAACAAATGAACCAAGCCCTCTATTTATAGGCTCTCAGATCTGTGCCTTGGCACAGATCTGGGCCGGCCACCTATAGGTGGCTCTGTTTTGGCCGAGTCCCCTAGGTGTTGTAGTTTTTGCCGTTTTTTCCGGTCTCGTGGTTGATTTAGACTCTGATTTGTTGATCTGAATCCTGATTTGGCAGTAAACCCGCTTCGGTGTTTGAGTTCAAATCCGTTCTATGGTTGGATGACTCGTTGACTCACCGAACTGTTAGCTTGATTCCGCATGCAATTAGATGTATTCCATTGCTTACGTGCGCTTCGTTAACCTCGTCGCCTCGTTAACCTCGTCGCCTCGTTAATCCGCTTCGTTACGTGTCACTTGGCTTCGGTGTTGCGGACTAACGTCGTTACGTGTCACTTGGCTTCGGTGTTGCGGACTAACGCTCGTGTTTAGATACGTCGCCCGATGGTTTATTGGTCTGTTGAATTACCGTGCTAAGCTATGCCAAGGGACCTATAGGCAGTTTTATACGCCTACAACTCTCTTTAAAATTTCCAAGAGATGTTACCGGCATGCAATCACTTTGTTCCACATAATATTGTTAAACATATTTGTGTGGAAGTTTCAATTTGTATTTGCACTTAATATTCATTATGTTGCAAGTGCCAACCTTCTCCACAAATTAATAGCCTAATTAATTGGTTTTTCAGTTCATCATCTTTGTTTTTACTGATAGATTCCTGTTGGGGAACTACTTCACGACTAGTCTGAACATCATTTTCAGAAATCTCCTCAAATTCAACAAATTCCTTTGTTTCAACTTTTGTATAGTCTGAACATCATTTTCAGAAATCTCCTCAAATTCAACAAATTCCTTTGTTTCAACTTTTGTATTAGAACTACTTGATTCTGCAATTGATCTGTCTTTGTACATCACATTCTCATTGAATATGACATCTCTGCTTCTGATGATCTTCCGAATTTTATAACCCCAAAACCGGTAACCGAACTCATCACCACCGTAACCAACAAAAACACATTTGTTAGATTTGGTATCAAGTTTACTTCTTTCAGCAGAATCTATGTGTACATAAGAGATACAACCAAAAAGTCTTAAATGCGAAAGGTTTACCTCTTTTCTGCTCCACGCTTCATCTGGTATTGCACCATCCAAGGGAACTGAGGGACCACGGTTGATTAGGCACCATCGATGACATTGCTACTACCTTCCCATGTTTCATCAGAACACAACCTAAACCCAAACCAGAAGCATCCGTGTGCACTACAAATCCTCCTGACTCATTTGGAATTGTCAAGACTGGTGCCGTCGTTAACTTCTTCTTTAACTCCTTAAATGGTGCTTGGCACTTTGGAGCCAACACAAACTTGACCTCCTTCTGAGTCAGCCTAGTAAGTGGTCCCGTAATCTTAGCGAAATCCTTTATGAATTTCCTATAATATCCAGCCATCCCCAAGAAACTTCGAACTTCTGTCACTGATGTAAGTGGATCTAATCTCAACACCGCATTAACCTTCTTTGGGTCCATAGAGATACCTTCTCCTGAAATCACATGCCCCAAGAAGGACACTTGCTCCAACCAAAACTCACACTTGTTCAATTTTCCATAAAGCTTCTCCATCCGTAGGATTTCCAACACCGTCCTTAGATGATCTGCATGATCTTCCTTGGTCTTGGAGTACACAAGAATGTCATCGATGAACACCATAACAAACTGGTCAAGATACTAGGAAAACACCTTGTTCATAAAGCTCATAAATGTAGATGGAGCATTTGTCACTCCAAATGGCATCTCCAAAAACTCATAGTGCCCATACCGTGTGCGGAATGCGGTCTTGGGTATGTCTTCCTTCCTCACCTTCAACTGATGATAACCTGACCTGAGAATGCGGTCTTGGGTATGTCTTCCTTCCTCACCTTCAACTGATGATAACCTGACCTGAGGTCCAGCTTAGAAAACACACGAGCTTCTCCGAGCTGATCAAAAAGGTCATCAATCCTGGGAATTAGGTATTTATTTTTGATAGTAACCCGATTTAATTCTTGTATTCAATACACATTCTTCGACTACCATCCGGCTTTGGCACTAACCCCACTGGTGCTCCCCAAGGTGAAGTACTAAGCCTGATAAGTTTCTTATCAAGATACTCCTGGACTTGCTTCCGCAACTCCTCCAAATCTACTATCGGCTTCTGGTAAGGTGGTATTGAAATAGGTGCAACTCCTGGAATAAGATCGATGAAGAACTCTATATCTCGATCTGGTGGCAGACCCGGCAACTCTTCAGGAAAAACGTCAAGGAATTCCTCGATAATTTCTGGTATGGGCTTCTCCTCTACCTCTATACAGGTTAATACTCCATCCATGCCTGCTCGATACTCGTGCTGCTCCATCACCTTGCTTCCACTCATGAATTTAAACTCTGGGTGGCCTGGTATCTTGAACAATACGCTTCTGCGTCGGCAGTCGATCATCGCATGGAAGTTATATAGCCAATCCATCCCAAAATAACATCGAACCCGTTAGTGTCAATCACCAACAAGTCTGCAAATAGCTCCCTACCACAAACTACCACTGGGCATCTCTTACACTCCCTACTAGACATTAACACCCCGTTACCGGTATGGATATTCCAGCTCGCCTCTAAACTATCACATGGTATAGTGTGTCGTGCAATGAACTGAGCAGATATAAAACAGTGCGATGCCCCAGAATCAAATAGGGTAAATGCAGGGACTGAATACACCAAAATGATACATGTGACTACGTCTCCAGATGCATCTACCAGCTCAGTGGTAAGTGTCATAACTTGACCTTGTCTCTGCTGCTGCTGAGCTTGCCGACCGTATTTCCTTGGGTGCCTCTACTGATAAGGTGGCTGATATGGGTGCTGGAAATGAGGACCTCTCCACTGTATCTGGCCTTGAAATTGTTGACCCCTCTGATGTCCTCGAAACATCTGCTATTGTGTGGGAAGTGGTGGCCTCAGCTGTTGTCCGCCCTGTCTAGTCTGGCCTGTTGGTACTATCGCTCCACCTGAATATCCTCTTGAGACTCCCCTACTAGGATAACTGGTGATCTGATGATCTGCTGCCCCACATGCTAAGCATAACCCGTTAGCTCGCCTGCAGTCCTTCATCAAGTGCCCCGGCTTGCTGCAGAAATGGCTGATCATGTTGGTTGGTTGTGGAGTTGGTCTTGAAGCCCCTGTCTGCTGGCGCTTGGCTGGTGCTCCTCCTATCTGAGGCTTCTGCTGGTTACCTCCCGAGTTCTGTCCTGCGGGGCGCTTGTTTGCCCCTCTCTTCACCGAGTTCATGATCCCAATCAATTGTTCTACCTTCCGAGCTGCCTCTAGGACATCTGCATAAGTTTCTATCCCCTTCTGACTGTAAATTTGAGTCTGAATCTCAAAGTTCAGACCCTGCATGAACCTCTGTCCCTTATCCACCTCATTCGATACCATCCCCGGGGCAAACCTGCTGAGCTTGGCAAATTCTGCTGCATACTCATCTACTGTACTAGCTCTCTGCCTCAACATAACAAACTGCCTCTGCATCTCAAGACGAGCTGTCTTCGGAAAAAATGCCTCTACGAAAATCTCCTGGAATATCTCCCATGAAATCGGCCTAGGCATCTTCTCCTCCTCTGCGTCCCACCAGGTTCTGGCTACATTAATGAGCTGCAGCTGAACAATATCAACTCGGTGTTCATCTGGTATCTTTGCTGCCCTCAATAAGTGGTCCATGGTCTGCAACCACATCTCGGCCTAATATCCGCCTTCAGTCCCAGCAAAGTGTTGCGGGTTGAGCTTCCGAAAATCGAACACATTGCCCGGCCTTGCAACCTGTCGCTGCTCATCCCTCTGACGATTATGAGCTACCAGGTCCCTAATCGCTTCTGCAAGATCAGCCTGATCGACTTGTTGTCCATCAGGGACAACTGGAGTAGGGGGTCTACATTTTGGGGCCATAGTGATCACCTGAAAATGAGATTGGTCAAGATTAGGACTTGAGAATCAGAGAAATGGGAGTCAAAGGACGTATTTCTGGAAAGGGAAAAACTCATTCTATACATGCTCTATTTTTAGCTCAATCTTAGTTTCTACTATACATGACGAGACAACAATTCCTAAACCTAACCTGGCTCTGGTACCAATCAAAACCTTATCAGGTCCTGGTTCCAAAATGTAATAGTTTGGAACATGACTCGGCCGGCAATGCAACCATACGGTCACATTCACGCCTCTAGATAATCCTGTATATAGATATAAAGACAAGACCATACCAAAGAGCATGTACCAAGATAATAAAAGGAGTGTATAGATAAAGAAATATCAGAAATTTTCATAATTCTATAACAAGTCCACAATTTATCTAAAGAGAAAGGAAAAAATACACCATAGTCTGGAGAGCCACATGTGGCTAAAGAAAAGCCTAAACTAAATAACTACCTAAATCAACTGAATTTGATAACTGATAGAATGAATGGTGATCACTACTGATGAGCCTACCCCTCGAAGTACTCTCGATCCTGCGAAGAAAGAACGGTTCCCGAATCTAGGGCACGCAAACCCCAGGGGAGTCAGAAAACTCCCAACAAGCATGACAAATGAAGGAAATATGCGCGTGTAAGTGTAATGTGGCATGTATAAAGAAAAAAAATTAAAAACTCAGATAAAGATGGAAAAAAAATGCTGATAATAGGTATCAACCAAGGTCAATCGTAAGACACACAAGCACATTATTATTATTTTAGATGTTATTTGAATTAGAAAAGAATATTTCATGTATATAAGTCGGTTTCCCGTAAACCGTCCCGGGAACACGGCTTCAAGTCAGGATGGGCCCTTATTTCATACATATATATATACCAGGATATCAAGAAAGCTCACAAGCCCGCTTATATACATGTTATATTCTCTGTCTAATTCCCCTTTTATAAACCCCATGTTTTCTGTTTAATCTAAGTGACTGTACATGAAATGTTGTGCACTAACCACAGAGTTACCGTGGAACGGCTTCCGTAAAACTATGAAAGATAACCGTGACCTAGATCATGTCCAAATCAAGAGGGGTGCATCGTCTAGTCGATGCTATAATAGTAATAGCCAAGGAAAAATCTCATATCGGGATATCGATATCGAGAGCATAGCCATGTTGTGAAAACACGCTTATAAATCATATTTTTGACGAAAATCGTCTTCATGCACCAGTCTAGCCTATTTGATGACTTTACTAATCAACACAGAATTCAACCACACAATCCATTTCAAAGTATAACAAGGTACTCAAAATAAGCTAACAAGTTCACTTTAAAATATATATATATATATATATATATATATATAATGGAACTAATATTTGAATAACAAACAGAAAATTTTATAAATAATCACCTAACCCTACCTAAAACTACTAATCCTAACCCTGCATCCAAAACCGGCATCATCCCTTCTTATGTTGGCAACCTCACATTCTTTAAAAACTCTAAAAATAAAAAATCAAGGCCCACAAAAGAACTCAGGCCCAACAACAAAGATAAAAGTATTTGGCGGCTAGGGGATTTGAACTCCAGACCTAGGAGTAACAGTCCAAAGCAGCTGGCCACAACAACAACTTGCATCTATGGCCATAACAATACAGAAATGTACAGGTTTGTGTTCAAACCAAATCAATACACTTATTTATGAAAAAAATTTGTAGAGTCCAGGATTTGAACTAGGGACCCGTGTGTCATTGTCCAAGCAACTATCCACTACAACCTATTAAACTTTCATTGTCATAACTGATGCAGATAATAAATAAACTTTGGTTTCCAGTTAAGAAACTAAATAAATACTTCCAAATTAAATAAAATAAATTTATATATTTTATATAAGTCAAAATTGTTATCTTCTGATTTGTACGAAAAATTATGTGAAATTTATAATACTCATATCAATAAAATGATAAGATCATGGGGAGGAACATAAAATAAATAAATGAGAAAAAAATGTGTTATCTTCTAATAATTTTAAGCTTGAATTCTATTAGTTATTTCTATGAACTAGAATGGGGGAAAAATAGTACTGCAGGAAGCATAAGCTAAATATATACATATACATAAATTAATTGGGGGAAGAGATGCTTGCATGAAGGAAATCCAAATAATAATGATAATAAACATAATAATTGAGGAAAGGATACTCGCATGAAAAAAAGAAAAAACAAAAATAATAAAAATAATAAGATTTGAGGAAAAGAATGCTTGCCCAAATTCGTGTGAAACTCCGAAGCAAGAAAAAATCCACCATTTTTCAAACACGTTCCAGCCCTACGTTCTCTCTCTCACTCTCTCTCTCTCTCTCTCTCTCTCTCTCTCTTTCTCTCTCACTCTCTCTCTTTATTTATTTTTTTTTATTTTTTGGACTTCCCTTCTCTGGTTTCCGTGAGATGGAAAAAATGAAGAGGGGTGGGTTTTTTTTAAAGGGGTTGTTGGGTGTGTTAGTTAGGATAAGGGAAGATCATGGGGATAGTTAGGTTTGTTAGTGAAGATTAGAGGAGATTAAGGGGTTTACTTAGGTATTCTACCATTCAAGGGAACTGAGGGACCGCGGTTGATTAGGTAGGCTGCGGTATTGATAGCTTCAGCCCATAGGAACTTGGGCAAGCCGACAAGTATCCTCATGCTTCTGGCACGTTCATTCAAAGTTCTATTTATGCATTCCGCTACACCATTCTGCTGCGATGTCATGGGAACAGTTTTCTCCATCTTGATCCCGTTGTTTGCGTAAAATTCTTTGAATCTACTGTCTTTGTACTCCCCTCCATTGTCTGACCTTAACCACTTTATCTTCAAACCAGTTTTATTTTCCACCATGACCTTCCATTTTTTGAAGGTATCAAAGACTTCTGATTTCTTCTTCAGAAAATAGACCCACACATTCCTTGTAGAATCATCAATGAAGGTGACATATTACAGTGAACCTGCAAGAGATGAAACTGGAGATAGCCCTCATACGTTGGTATGAACCAACTCTAACTTTTCTGCCTTGGGTGTCTTTCCAATCTTTGCAAAACTAACTTTCTTCTGTTTGCCAAAGATGCAATCCTCGAATAGGCCAACATCCACATTCTTCAGATCCAGGAGCTTCCCTTTTGACAGAAGTGTCTTCATCCATTTCTCGCTCATATGGCCAAGCCTTTAGTGCCATAGGATTGATTTTTCATCTGCATCTGTTACTACAATAATATTCTCTAGGTTAGAGGTTACATAAAGAGTACCACTTTACTTACCTCGAGCAATGACGAGTGCTCCTTTGGTAATCTTCCATTCATAACCTGAGAAAGTTATATAGTAACCCCCTCCATCAAGTTGTCCTACGGAGATCAAATTTCTTTTAAGGCCAGGAATATGTCTCACTCCTTGCAGCTTCCATGTGGTCTGATTTGGCAATTTTAATTGGATGTCTCCCTTACTAACGATCTTTAAGGTTTCATCATCTGCTAGATGTACCTTTTTAAAATCATCGCTGACGTAGTTCTCCATGATTTCCCGGCAAGGGGTGGCATGGTAGGATGCTCCTAAATTAAGAATCCATGATTCAATTGGACCGTTGACGCTTAGAATCATAGCATCACCTCCTTCCTCGGTCACGTTGGCAGACTCCTGTGCGCCGGTATTTTTCTTCGATGCCCGACACTCCCTCTTGAAATGACCCTTCTTGCCAAAATTGTAGCACTTAAAATCTTTCTTTCCCGATCTAGATTTGCTTGTTCTAGAATTTGATTTGCCGTGATTTGAACTTCTTTCTGAAAGCCAATCGAGAAAAGGTTACTTTTACGGTGAAGTGAGCCACACAACAATACTGAAGCAGAGACATGAAGGTGAAATTGGCCCGAGGAAAGTGAAAGAAAGGGAATGAGCGCCCAAATGAAAACTCGTACTCTGAAAGTTTTGATGTTGTAGTTATTGATGTATTGCTTATATATGAGATGCACTTGGTAAGCGGCCTACCTACTTGTTATTGATGGATGTCTTGAATGCTTTAGTTATTGAAATGCCCTGAAAATTTTGAAGATTAAGATCGAACTATGTTTGTGCTCAAATCTCTACAGAAAAGAATGGTTTTAGTTTTAATAATACCTCGTTCCATTTTCCATTTGTTAGTGGTGTTATACTTATAAGGAACATAAGTATTTCTTCCCACATTTTGTGAAATAATTTGTCAGGATGTTTCCTCATTTGAGAGTTTTTGAGGTAGTAGCTGGTTGACTTGGCAGTGAGGTATATTGTGAAGGTGTTAAGCATGAAAAGGAGCTAAATATGATCTTTGCTAATAGGACAAAAAATAAAAGGTTAAAGCGGAAAGCGTTGCTATAAGTGGGTGTATGGGGTTGATACATGCAAATAGGACAGAAAATAGAATATCGAGGTGGTGCTATTAGCTGATTTGAGTGGGATTTTAGTGATTTTATTATTCTTTGTCTGAGCAGACTACGTACTATGTATATCAAGTATATTAAGTATATGTCACGTCAAATTAGAGGTACGAATTGGATTATCTTAATTAGTTGAATGAAATATGGTGATACGGTGTATTGAATATCTAGACGATCATCTAAGATTTCAAGCATAGACAAATGACTCTGTATAGTGATTCCGTGCATACTATTCTTCCTAACAAAAAATTTCCCCTTTCTACCGACCAAAGCATCAAGAGAAAAATTAAAGAAATAAAGTGAAATAACATTGCTACAAAAAATT